GCTGAGAGCAAGTTGTCACTAAGACGTATTGTTTAATCTTTAATCTTTCTCAAATGCATTCATTTCTCTACAAAAATCGAAAGTACATCGTTCATCATCTACGTTCATTAGAGTCTTATTAGATGTTGAAAGTGACCTCATTTGAGGACATGCCAACACGAACTTATAAAATCGATGGTGCGCATATTTCCATTTTCTAGCAACTCAACGAATTTATCGGTCTCCATATCTGACTTTTGTTAAAATTATTCCAAGGAGAACATTAGAATGAAACTATGTTCTACTTTACCTACAATTGAGAGGTGAGGCCATTGGCACTATTAGTAATTACAGATTAAAGCATTTGCCTTCTCAACCTGTGAAATGATAGGGGGGGGGGGGGGGATCATTAGCCCTTTCAAATTAGATCATACCAATCAATAAGAAGTGAATATCATTGACAGATACTTGCTACAATATAGAGGGCGAGAAGGGGAATTGAATTTTGGATTGTTAGCTATCCACTAAGTAGACATTGCACAACCCGAGTCAAAAAAACCAAGCAACCTTGAAACCTTGACATCGGTCTCAGTACTTTTTGACCACCAATTCCCTATCATTTGCCGAGCTTTCTATTATTCGATATTGATTGGTTTCTCTAATTAAGAAATGTACTTATTTATGAAGCCGCTGATATATTTAGAATAATATTAACGTTGTTACTATGACAAATTAACTGTAAAGGGCGTGGTGCAAATTTATTGAATTCAGATAGTGAAGTCCTTGTCTACTTGCTCCAAAATTTAAATCTCCGTTAAGATTTGAACATAATGATTAGATAAGATTACTCCAACTTCCCATCTCTTTCTTCGATAAGCTTAAAGTTGTTCCACTCACAATTTTTAAAGTAACTCTATGTCACTTCAAAAGTCCTAATGCGTAACCAACACCTGTACCATCAACTTATTAGTCAATATAGTCCAAATTAAAGAGGGTCTTTGACTTCATTAGTCTCAGTGTGACTTACCTCTTTCAATGTATAAAGACCCCCCCCCCTCCCCTTTTTTCGTTTATTGATTGAATCTGCCCTCAAAACCGGCAGTTCAAGGAATGAGCGCAATTTATCTAGTCGAAGGGACTTCACCATACTTGATTTTTAAACTAAGACCAATCTACACTTCTTTTGGCATGGAGGTTAGGAACTCAGTGTTCTTTGCTTTAAATTCGATGTCATAAGTAGGTGGTCAAGTGCATAGATTTGTTTTAACTAGGAATATAGTTGGAAGAAGGCGGATTTCCCAAAGTGAAGCAAGTTGAAATGGACTTGAGAAGATTATTGGAGTTCATTATTGGAGTGCTCGACAGACTTACCTCCATGTGGTGCGCCCAAGGCAACGTATACACATACTCCAAAATAGTCTATAAACCGACAGTTGTCTTCAAACTATCATGACCCCACCGTGTGTTTTATTCGAATTCTTTCATAGCGCTCGCCTTGCCCTACTCTCTACCTTTGTATCTGTCTTGCTTACAACTGTACAACACTCTTCTATTCCTTCTCCCTCTCGAATTTTGTGACTTTGATGTTCCTCCCCTCTGCGAAGCCCGAAGTCAACCAAAGGGCTAATGACAACTCTCATAAAGCCTGCCATTTGATATAAATAATTAAATTATTGAAAATCCATTTTTTCTATTCCGTTCTTGCTATAGTGTAGTCCGTATCTTAACTCAGAGCTCAGGAGCCAATGGCCTAATTAGTTCAATCTCCAATTTCTGTTTTAACTTCAGTTACGATGAAGATTTGCTTCTTAACCATTAAAGCCAGGATCCCAACAAGGGGTCAGTGCATGCTGTCAATGCTGGTATGGCCATTTACTCCGAAAGTTATAAATCTCAATTGTATTTGTGACAATATTCACCCTACCTCGGTACATTTATTTTATGCTCAAACAGAGAGAGAGAAAGAGAGAGTTGAGTAAATTAGAGATCTGGGCGGTTGCTACTTGGAAGTTGCTGTCGTCCTGTTTAAAAATTGTTGATATCATACGATTTTCAAGTTGGCGCCAATGCTAAAATTTCAACCTCTTCCTATTGTTTAACCATTTCGACTCACTTTTTCAATTAAGCTCTACATTATTCAATAAGTGAAAGCATTCCGCTAATTGAATCTTAATTAAAAACTTTTTATTAGTTTAGCATTTTTGATTTAATATAAACTGCATTCGTCCATATTCTGAGAAAGATGTTCACAGTGGTCCTACAATGGATTCCTGGTCACTGTGGCATTAAAGGCAATGAGCTTGCTGGCACACTTGCTAAGAAGCATAGCAATGCATGGACCGCCCGATGTCTTTCCACACAATGAAGACCTTAGTGGACCGGGGTCTTCCCACACAATGAAGGCCTTAATCAGAAAAGAATTCCCGACCTCAATGTGCAACGAAATTAAAGCTCGAAAGAGAATTCCAGACATTACCAACGGAACTCAAAGCTCGAACAAAAGAGAAACAGTGGACAGTGGCACTCTCCGACATAGCCGACTAGCCAAGAATCAGAAACAGTGGACAGTGGCACTCTTCGATATAGCAAAGGAGAAACAGTGGACAGTGGCACTCTCCGATATAGCCCCAAGGAGAAACAGTGGACAGTGGCACTCTCCGACATGCAACGAACTTAAAGTTCGAACAAAGGAAAAACAGTGGAGAGTGGCACTCTACCACATAGAGGAGAAATAGTGGACAGTGGCACTCTCCGACATACCCGGCGGCGAGAATCGAAGCCGTTGCTGAGTTTAGACTACGTATCGGACAGAGCCGTTGCTGAGTTTAGACTACGTAGCCGTTGATGAGTTTAGACTACGTACCGAACACGATTGCCTATAAACACCTTCACAGATTGGGAGTATACACTCAACTCACATGTACACCTTCACAGATTGGGAGTATACACTCAACCCACATGGACCTTCACAGATTGGGAGTATACACTCAACCCACATGCCCCCTTCACAGATTGGGAGTATACACTCAACCCATATGCCCTTTCACAGACTGGGAGTATACACTCAACCCACATGCCCTCTGCACAGATTCGTACCGGACACGATTGCTTGACAAAACACCTTCACAGATAGGTACCGGACACGATTGCTTGGCAAAACGCCTTCACAGATTTTGAGTATATACTCAACCCACATGCCCTCTATTAACCTACAGGAGGAAATGGAGAAGACCCACCTGATTCGGTATATTGGGAGAATACACTCAACCCACATGCCCTCTATGTAGCCTTGGGAGTATACACTCAACCCACATGCCCCCTATGTAACCTTCAAGAGGAAATGGAGAAGACCCACCTGATTCGGTGTCCCGGGAGTATACACTCAACCCACATGCCCTCTATGTAACGTAGAGGAGGAAATGGAGAAGACCCACCTGATTCGGTATATTGGGAGAATACACTCAACCCACATGCCCTCTATGTAGCCTCCCGGGAGTATACACTCAACCCACATGCCCTCTATGTAACGTAGAGGAGGAAATGGAGAAGACCCACCTGATTCGGTATATTGGGAGAATACACTCAACCCACATGCCCTCTATGTAGCCTGGGAGTATACACTCAACCCACATGCCCTCTATGTAACCTAACACGATTGCCTGGCAAAACACCTTCACAGATTGGGAGTATTCACTCAATCCACATGCAAAAGAAGTGGAGAATACCCACCTGATTCGGTGTCCAGCCCTAAAGAAAACGACGGAAACCCAGAGATACTGGGAAGCAAGAAGACGGCTAATGAACTGCTATTAATTAACTGCTATATATGTACCCTCCACCCATGGGGAAAGCTGAAGTCAAAGTTTAAGGGCTAATGATGGATATCATAAAGCCTGCCATTTGAAATAAAAAAAAATAAATAAATGTTCACATTTCTTAATCTATGTCAAAATAACTGCAAGCTTCCACAGCTTATATATATATATATACGCGTATATAGATAATCATCAATTTATGAAATCCGGTAATCAGTGCTATTTCTGTCCAATAGTCTTCGAAACAAGTTTTCTCTTAAATAGGCGGGCCAAAGTGAGACATTGGAACTGATTTTGGCTGGGGATCACACTATGTAAAATGTTCTTATTCACGTCCGAGTGCTGGGGGAGTAGTGGGTAATGTGCCGTCTGAGAGAGTAAATTGATGCTCATCTTTGCAAACTCGTCGAGGAAAATAGGCTAATGTAATTTTTAGTTCTAACCAACAAGAGGAGTGTTAGAAGGCGAATTTCTCTCACGGAAGACGCCAAGATATCAGGTTGAATAAGGTTAAAATAGTGGAACTTGAAGGCGATCAGCGAATGTCGAATACGCCAAAAGTAGACGATAACTTGTTCATTTTGAACCGATAATTGTAATTACAAGGCTTGAGTAAGTGGAAAAATGACGTTCGTCTCAAAGTCAGAGAACGCAATTTTACTCATCACCAAACACCCACACGACTTAAATTCAAAACGTCTCGCACATGAGGTAAAATTTGATCAGTTATTCTTCAAATTATTGGTTCTGTAATCGTCGTGTTTGAATTTTTCCTGAACCCTGAGTTACTTAAACTTTTTCTATACCCCTTGTTTGCTTCGCTAAAGCCATAAGATATGGATAATCTAATAAAGCATCTTGGCTTCCTAGCCATTGCTGCAGTCTGGGAGATGAATCTTGAAATCTGAATTTTGAAACGTGAACTCCTGTTTTATTAAATATTGTGCAACGGTAAAAGAATTGTTGAAAATTCTCTTGGATACTTCTCAACTGTCCACTCATTTGTTGAAACCTCCGCTAACCGATTTCAATTAATATCTGGCAATGAACAATTGTATACATAAATTTCCGCTGCTAATAACAATAGTCAGTATTTGAGAATGATACAAATTTTAGTCTTTTGAGGAATTTTAAAGAAATATTTGCACTAGTAGTGGGCTTTCTTAGAGGAAGACAGAAGTTCATTCGAACTTTCTTCTCAAATTAGTGACCACGGATTTGGTCTTTTCAACTTGTAATCATCTAAAGAGATCATTCTTTAGTCTTCCTGAGACAGGATATCGGATCGAAAATTAGAACTCGAGTACAAATTTCAGGACTTCATATCTTTCTATAAGATATTTTATCAATTTTACACCCAATTTGATAGCAAAATTTAATGCCTACAATCTATAAATTAGGACTCTGGAATTATGTGGAGACTAATGACCCTAGATTATAATGACTAAGCCTGCATAAGTATTGATTAAGTTTACGGATGTGATAGCGTTTAAATTCGCAACGCAATTTGTGCATTTAAGGTCAGTTTTAAGGATCAAAATAGATAACCCAGCAGCTGAACTAAGGTCACGACTTCGGTCGTAAGTGATGTAATCAATTTTATTAATTGGTACACTAACAGCCGTAATTGTTGCCTTTCTATTTAATGGCACACTATCGATAGCCGTCTCGTTGATCGCTTATTCATACATTATTTCAGCGTTGGTATAAACGATCGATAATGTTAATGCAACCCAAAATTACCACCACATAACTGTAAGGTCGATTTTTCGATTTAAATCTGGTAGTGATTTGCCTTATCCTCAACTACCTGATTGACGCAATAGATGTTAAAATTAATAAGCTTAAATAGTGGATTACTATATGACTTTCTTTGCAATTCTCCTACCCAAGAAGTAGTCCAACAGTCGAAGATGGTTCAAAGCACAGTGATTCGAATGGATTAGATGTCTGCTAAAACTGCTCTAAGGAATGCCTATGAAACCGTGCTTATTAGTGATACTTGAAGGCGATGTACTACAAAGACCGTGACAAATACCCCTAGACTCGATTAACTCAATGGTTGCCAATTCAGAACATTTTAAATGAAAGGAATAAATAATTTCATTTCATACGG